ATTTTTTCCCTTCGAGACTCCCTCTATCGTGCATTTTTAAAAGCTGTTACGATTGGTTTTTTTTTTATCTCTTTTCATCCGTTGTTTAAATTTTTTAAATTTTATCTCGAGTTTTTTAACCGGAAACATATTTTTAATTTTTTTTTTTTTCGGAAAACTTTATTAAATTTATTTACACGTCGTGTGAAAAAAATTCAATAAAATTTTTTTTTTTTTTTAACATTTCCGTTAACGTAACGGTTTTCCTCTTGAATTTTTCAATTTTTTCCCGTCGGAGATGCTGGAGAAAAAAAAAAAGGATCGGAGAAAAAGGTGAAACGAACGACGTCGAATGGGGAAAATGATTTTTTTTTTTTTATTTGTTGTTTTTGTATGATGACAGACGTTTAGAAAGGATAAACGTGTAAAAAAAGGATTTTTTAATTTTCCTATACTGAAAAGATTTTTTTCATAAACGTTCGGAAAAAAAAAAAATATTAAAACTGGGAAATTCCAGTTAAAAATTTTTTTTTTACTCGTGTGCCATTTTTTTTTGTTTTTTATTTTCTATTTTTTGTCGACATAAAAAAAAAAAAAATAAAATAAAAGAAAATCGATGAAAATTGAAAACAAAAAATAAATAAATAAATAAATATAAAATACGTGGAAATTTAATCGTAATCATTCACTCCTTCCACGTCTTTTTATCAATACCCATTATTTTTTTATCTACTTTTTTCAAGATTATTATTATTATTATTTAAAAATTTTTTGTTATCGAAAACGGATATTTTGACGATGCCATTTACTTTTTTTTTTCTTGTGCCACGGCATCACGTTCCGATTCGCTCATACGATAGTACACACACCTAATATTCCGTTAAATTTTTTTTTTTAATAAAAAATTGTTTACTTTATTTCGATCATTAAATGCTACGATCTGTCGACACGTCACGCACACGCACCCACGCACGCTGATTTTTTCGTGGAAGGAGAAGAATGATTTTTTTAAAAAACAAAATTATAAAAATTGTTTTTGTTTTTTTGCACTTTTTAACTCTGACGCATTTTTTTTTATTTTTCGTATTTCATCGCGGGAAAAAATTACAAAAATTTTCTTTTTCTTCTGCTTTTTTTTGACGCCATTTTTTTTTCTTTATCTTACTTTTCTAAAATAAAATTAATGCGAATATATATAAATTTGTACGATTTTTAATAATTATGGCGCGTTTTTTTTTTTACTTTAAATGTAAATGAGAAGGTTGAAAAAAGGTTTTATGGAAAGAGGTTCGAGAATTAAAGTTAAGAGGAAAAAAGAGAAAAAAAGTTTTAATGAAATTCTTTTTAAAAAAAAAAAAATTTGTTTTTTTACTATATATATTTAAAATGACAAACGTGGATGTAGAAAAGGTTTTTACATGTCAGAAAAGGTTTACTACGATGATGAGGTACAAAAAAGTTTAGTGGAAGTTGTGTAAAATCGAAACGAAATGCAATTCAAATTGTTTTCTTTTTTTTCCATTATTATTTAAATTTAAAATTCTTTTGCTGTCATCGTCGTCGTCGACGACGCCATCAACATCATCATCATCACAATCGTTTTTTTCTTCGTCTTTGTCTTTTAAATTCTTGGCAACGATGAGGAAACAGTTTTCCTGTTTTTTTTTTTTTTTTACGTTTACTTCCGATTAATTCTAAACGATTTATTTAAATTTATTTATTTATTTGTTTCTTATTTGTTTATTTTTTTGTTGTTATTGAAATTAATCATTCCAGCGGGAAAACAAAACTGGAGAGGAAAAAGAAAAACGAGGAAAACCAGATGAAAATAAATAATGTTGAAACATACACAACAAGAAATGATTAATTAAATTTTTTTTTTTGTTAAGTCTGTTGCCGAATCGTCGTTAATTTCTACTACCACGACGATAATGATGATAAGGATGTTGATGATGATAACGATGATGATGATGATGATGATGATAAAGATAATGATAATTACAGTAAAAAGTATGGATAATGCTTTAATTTTTATATTTTTATTTCCAGTTATGGAATAAACAAATGAAATTTTGTTTTTTTTTTTTTTTGCCCCCCTCAAAGGAATCAAAGGTTTTTAGTTATGTTTGTTACACACATACACACACACGCGCGCGCGCGCACGCATTTATTACCACATTTCTTTTATGAGTGATATTTACTATCCTTTGTCGTAATATCACCTATGTTATCCTTTGCACCTTAATTATCATTCCATTGAAAAATTTTAAACCGTTGTTGAAATATTCAAATTTCCTTTTTTACCCGTTACAAAAAAAAAAGGAAAAATCATAGCAAAATGAAATTGTAACTGTTTTTATTTAAATCGTAATTAACATTTAATTATTTTCCTTTGGGAAAATAATTAATACGTTTTTTTTTTTTACTTAACTTTTATAGAAAGTAAAATTTTTCCTTTTTTATTTTATTTTTCCATTAGTTTTCTTTTGATTAACGAGTGAAGTTTTATTAAGAACTTTTCGAAAAGAATAATAATAATAATAATAATAATAATAATAATAATTTTTATAAAAAAAAAAAAAAAGAAACTTTTTTTTTTATTTTGTTTATTTAAAGGAAAAAAGAAAAAGGAAAAAAAGGAAAACTTTTTTATTCCTTTTTTTTTTTGATTTATTAAATTGTCATAACGTTGTAAATGTTTGTTTCGTATAGTAATCAGTTTTCGACTAGAAATTTCTTTAATTTTCCTTTTTTTTTTTGTTTTTCCTTTTTTTCTTTTCTTTTCTTTTCATTAATTTTTCGTTTTGACGTTTGTTTTTTTTTCTTTTTTTTTCGGAGGGGGGAGGGGTAATGTATGAAAGAAGAAAACAAAAAAAAAGGAAATAAACGTGCACACGACACGACATATATATATATATACTTTTTTTTTCCTTTTTTGTTTCCTTTTAATTTTTAACTTCAACCTTAGTCGTATAACTTTATTTTCCTTTTTTTTGTTTTGTTTTTCTTTTTGTTTTTTTTTTCCTTTGGGTCCAATTTAATTAGTAAATGTGAAGTTTTCTTTTTTTTTAAAAAAAAAAAAGAAAAAAAAATTTAATTTTTTTTTTTTGAATTTTCTCAAAGGAAAAGATTTTAAGTCCGCACATTAAAATTTCATTTTTTCTTTAATGTTAAATTTATTATTATTATTATTAATATAAAAAAAGGAAAAAATTTTTAATATAAAAATGAAATTTTTTCCTTTTTTTTTTTTGGTTAAAATGATTGAAAGATGAAAAAAAAGAGGAAATAAAAATCAAAGGTTGGTTTCTCTTTAGTACCTTTAATTTGGCGGTCGCGAAACCTTTTAACCTTTTAACCTTTTCTTTACAAAGAGAATACTTAAAAAAAAATTAATATTTTTATTATTATCATAGAGAGATTCGTATTGATTTTGATTAAACCGACCGTCCAAAAAAAAATTTTTTTTTTAACGAATCGCATAGAAATTTTCCGAAACTTTTCACGTCGAACTCGTTCGATTGTATCGGGGGAGGGGGAGGGAAAGGAAAAAAAAAGAAAAAAGGAAAAAAAAACAATCGAATACCTGTGTAACAATTTAAATCATTAAATTATAATTAATCCACCCTGGATTTGTGAGAGATTAATCATTTATTTCATGCTTAAAAATAAATTCGATTTCCTTTTTAATCCTCTCTCTGTTCCTCCTCTTTCTCCCTCCGACTCGTTTCCCCTTCTCCCCGTTTTTTTTTTTTTTTACAACGTTGGCAATTATTTTCATTTCCGATTTTTTCTTTTTTTTTTTTTTTGATTTTATATATTTTATTTGAAAAAAAAAAAAGTAAAATAAATAACCGGAAGCGGAAAAGGAAATTTATTAAATCACGCGGATTTAACGAATTTTTTTATTACAACTGAATAAAGTGATTGGTTCTCTCTTGTGCCACGTTCGTTTTGTTTCACGTTCGTTTCATAAATTTATTATTATTATTATCATTTTTTATTGTTCCAAAGGTTTCCGCCATTTTTTTTTTCTCTCTCTCTTTCGTTCGTTAATTATCTTTCGTCGTCTTTCGACGTTTTTAAAACCTTTTAAACTTTTTTTGAATTCTTTTTTTGAGTTTAAAAAAAAATCAGGATTTAAAGATTTAAAAAAAAAAAAAAAAAAAAAAAGAAAGCGGAAGTTATTGAAAATATTTCAAAAGTTTTTTTTTTTTAAAAACGTAACAAGAGTAATAATAAAATGTTAAAGAGTTTATGATTTATGCGAATATGTTTTAAAAAAACTTTTTACTTTCCTCTTTCATTTTCCTTTCATTTTCCCTTTTTTTTTAAAAGGATAATGAAAGGGTTTGAAGAAAATTTTTTTTCATACAATTTTTAGTTTTTACCCCATTTCCTCCTTTTTTTTTTTTAAGAACGTTAAAAAAAGAAATTTTCTCTTTAATAAGGTTTTCAAGCGACTTTTAAAAAAAAATTTTTGACGTAAAGAATGTGTGGGGAAGTACGAAACGTAACAAAATTAAATTTTTCCCTTTTCCTGTTCGTCATCATCATTATCATCATTATTATCATTATCATCTATAAAGACAAAACTATGAAAATATTTTTTTACTTTATTCATTCCAAAAAAACAATTATTATTATTATTATTAATGAAAATTTTTAAAAGAAACAGATGGAAAAATTTGGAAAAATAAATAAATAAATTGAATTTTCCGATGGAGTATGGAGGGGGGAGGGAGGCAGGGGAGGAAATTCGGTATCATTTGAATTTTAAACTTCCCGGGAAAAACGTCGAATAAAAAATTTTTTTTTTTCGCACGCGCGCTCGTAAATTAAATTTAAATGATTGAAAAAATCTTCAGGTACAAAATCGTCGCTATTATTATTATTTTAATTATTATTATTTGTGGTTTTCGTAGTGAAAAATTAAAAAAAAAAAAGTGGGAAAGAAAGAAAAACGTTTGATGACGAATATTAAATAAATGCGATGCGGATAATAATTAAAAAACTTTGTTATGGCTTTGAACAGGCCGTATAAAGACGGGGAAAATGATGGAAAAGTCGAGACAGCAAACGAAAAAGATAAAATCGATGGATTGATTCGGATAAGCGGTGAAAGAGACGAGAAAAAAAAAATGTGCTACGAAGATGATGACAAAGAACAGAATAAAAAGAAATGCAAAAATAATAATAAGGAGAAGGAAGAAGTCAAATCGAAAGAAAGTCCGAATAAAAATGATAATAAAACGTCGACGGAAAAGGAAATGATGAAAGAAAAAAAAAATGATGATGATGAAGAAAAACGTGAACATTTTCCATGCGTTAATGTCAATGATGAGGATTATTATGACGATAATAACGTCTTTGTCGAGAGTAGCGACGCTTGTGGCGGAAATTTAAACGAAGAAAAGGAAATACGCCATGTTGAAAATGTCAAAAAACGTAATGAAAAAGATGAAATGAAAATTATAACCGGTCAAAAACATTTTTATACACAAAAACAAATCGATTCGTTTACCGTTAGAGTATTAGCCATAGAAAAAACATTAGAAAATAGTGAAAATCGAGTCGAACAATTGTCGAAAACAAACATAACGACGACGACAACAACAACAACCGGAGCAACAACAACAATCGATAAAGATCATTTAACACATCAACGTCAATATTTAACATCGGAAGTAACGAGAGCGAGATCTCCATCAATGCCTAACACATTAATGTTGGGCGTACCTAAAGATGGTGACGATCGAGAAAGTTCTTTCGATGATACGTCATCATGTGGTTCATCGAGATACGGTTTGGGTCCTTTGCTAGAAGTTAAAAGACCTCATTGCACTCTCAATTGCGAATATTGTAAAGTTGTTTTGGAAGAAAGGTTTAAGCACAGTAAGTAAAAGAAAGAAAGACAAACAAACGACACTCGATAAACGGTTTTTTTTTACCTGGGGGAGGAGGGAAAGGGGTAGAGGGGTGGATAAAGAAAAAGATGAGGAGATATGATGCGAGGGAAAGAGGTGAGGGCGGGAAGGAATAAAGGAAGGAAGGGTAAAAATTTTCCCAATTATTTTTTTTTTTAACATCATTAAAAGTTTATAAAAATTATTTTAATTGATTTTTCCGACGTTTGAGTTGTTGTACGTGTTTAAAAAAAAAAATAACTCTTTCTGCTTCCACGCAGTATTACTATTTTTTAAAAATTTTCATCTTACAAAGTTTTTATTATTATTATTATTATTTTTTCTTTTTCTTCCAACGTTTCTCGTTTATTTAAAATTTTAATTAATCATTATTATTTTGTTTAAAATATCTAGTTACACGTCTTTTAATAATAAGTTATTATCATGAATTTTTTTTCTTAAATTTTAGAAATCGTTGAAAACGTCAAAAATGGTCAAAAACCAAGTTTTCGGCCGATCGTCGATGATTTATACAGAGATGATCCAAGCTCAAAAGACGTCGTGGCACTAATGAAAAAATGTTGGGGAGAAGATCCCGCGGATCGTCCTGATTTTTCCGCACTTAAAAATCACATAAATAAATTAAACAAGTAAGTTTATTTATTATTATTTTTATTATTTACTTTGTCATCGTGACTGTGATGTCATTTCGATTATGACGTAATCAAAACACATTTTCCCCGTTTTTTTTTTTCGTGTAATTAATATTTTCGGATTAAATAAACGTCGAAGGTTAAACATGAAATCAAGTTACACGTCGTTCGTCGTCATTTAAAAAAAAAAAAACAATCAATGACATTTTCTTTGTGTTACCTTAACGAACGTTCACGTTTTTCTTTTTTATTGAAAAATATGTCTTGTGCCACGTTAATTTAAAAAATTTTTTTTTATTTCCCTCTCCCCCGCCTGCCCGTAGCCCGCTTTCTCTCGGTTTATCATAAAGAAAGTAAATTCATTCATTCATTCATTCATTTATTTTCCGTTGTCTTAAAGGGATAAAATAATAAACGAATAAAAATAAAAGATGGAAGATTCGGGATTTAAAGTGGAAGAAGAATAATAATAAAGGGGATATGATGGAGGGGAGGGGAGGGGGGAAACGGTTAGAAAATTAATTTTTACATTTAACATTTTTTTTGTACGGGAAAAAAAAAAAAATTACACAAAGAAAATGAAAAGGCTTCGGGCTGTCAAATTGTAGCAAATCGTTTTTTTTTTGTTTTTCTTTTTTTCTTCTTTTTTTTATTTGTATCCTTTTTTATTTTCTCCTCTTTTGTTTTTCTTTTTTTTACTCTATTTGCTAAAAAATAAAAAAAAATAATAATAGTAATAATAATAATAATAATAATAATATTAATAATCAACAACAATACTTTCGTAAGAAATGTTTCGTCGAGTTCGTAATGGAATTTTCTCTCCTTTTCTCTCTCTCTCTCTCTGTCTTTCTCCCTTCCACAATTTTTTTTTTTTATTCGTTTGTTATTGTTTGTTGTTATCACGGTTGTTTTTTAAATAAAAAGTTTTGTTAAAATTATATTTTTGTTGTTTAAAAAAAAAAAAACTACAAAACGCGGATCGTTATTTTTTTTCTCTCCGCGCCTTGGAAAACTATTATTAAAATGTTACAAAATTAAAAAATATCCGTCAGACGACAAAAAAAACGTGGCAGGAGAAAGTGGGAAGAATGAAAAAAATAAATAAATAATAATAATAATTTTTCTTTTCCGGGTTTCCCCCCCCCCATCGGTCGGATTCCATCCGCGTGCGAATTTAAACGGAGAAGTTGGAGGAGTCGAGTAAATGTGGTGTGAGAAAAAGGGAATGGGTGAGTATGAAATGTGCGGGTGGAATTCGGTGGGAGTAAAAGTGGGAGGAGCTTAAAATTTTCGCGCGTATGAGAAAGAAGTGGAAGGTTGGGAAATGAGGGGAAATAAAATTTTAAGTGGATTAAATCCGTGTGATATCGATTTTTAATAAGAAGTCTAATTTGAAATTTTATTGATTTGTTATTGATACGTTTTGCGGTGGAGGGGGAGAAGAAGGAAGGGAGGGGAGGAGGTGGAAGGGGTAACATAGAAAAAAAAAGGAACGTTTACGAAAAAAAAATATTTATTAAAAATTAGGTGGAGGATCGATAAAAAACCACAACAAAAATATAAAAAGTAAAGACGAAGCTAATTCTAAGAAACTTAAAACCATCCATTATATTTTTATACGACTCATTTTATTATACATTTACAGGATTTGGGTCATTCAATAATAAATAAATAAATATAAAAAAAGAAAGAAGAAGAAAAAGAAAGAATTTTTTTATTTTATTTTTTTTTTTCGATAAGAAAATGTTCTTTTAGCTTATAATAATGATAATAATATAGACGAAAACCCGATAGACGTCGTCGATGATGATAATGATTATAAAATTACAAGATGTTTTTTCATATCCGGTCAATTCGATCAATCCATCGATTGTTCGCCATTTTTTTTTTGTTTTTTAACAAATGAGGAGCAATGGCGAGAAATTTTTTTTTTTTTTCATCAAACCGGAAGATGATTATTTAAAATCCGTTTAATTCATTCTTTGATAATTTTTTATCACTGTCAGGTGTTGAGATAATCGCAAACGGGAAAATCTTTTAATGGAAATGACGTCATCAGTTAATGTGTTTTAATTGAATTTGAATTTATGTTAAGCATATCGTTTTCATCTCAATCTTCATCTCTCTTCCTCTTTCACTTTCTCTCTCTTTCACTATTCTCTTATTCTCTCGTTTGTTTGTTTGTTTTTTCAAAATCTCAGATTTTTTCAAAATTTTTAAGCATCAACTTCAAAATAAAATTTTCGTCGCCCTTTTTTCATGCACGTTTTAAAATTTTCACTGACACGTGGGTAATTGTTAGGCATGAATGACGTCACACCACGTGTTGTAACCATTCGGTCACTTATTTTATTACATACAACAAACAACCAACTAATTACAAGAAGACTGCACTGACACTAGAATAAAGTAAAAATAAATTTTTTATTTTTTTTTCTGTTGGTTTTTCATATTTGTATTACTCTAGGGTTAATAAAATGGTGGAAAAAAAGTTTGAATGGGGGTGTGGGGTGGGGTGGAGGATTTCAAAAAGTAAGAGAAATTTTTTTTTTTTTTTTTTTTACCTAAGCGAGTTTTTTTTTTTTTTTTTTATTTAAAAAAAAAAAAAAAAAAAAAAAGGTTTTGGCGGTTCGTTTGAAAATCATAAAAGCGAAAAAAAAAAAAATCCCAAAAAAAAAATTAAATTTTTTTTTTTTTTCATTTTTTTTTCCCCATTGTTTTTGGGGGGGGGGGAGGGGGGAGAGGACGAAAAAGGGTTTCCGCATGCCAATTTTAAAAATTTCCAGTTGGGGAGAAAGAAAAAAAAAGAAAAAAAATTCCGTTTATTCAAAATTTAATCTCATAGATAATCTTCGATATAGTTTTTGGTTAAAAAATTATTATTATTATTATTATTTTAAAAAATTCAAAACGTTGGGAAACTTATTTTCTTTTTCCACGTTAATTTTAAATTTTGTGTCCAGGAGTTTCATATCTATCACGACCTTTGACCCTTTTTGTTTGACAAATTGGATACGGTTCAATTTTTCTTTTTTTTTGTCAGCTTCACGCTGTGGTCGGTATCACATTCTCCTTCCACGTTTTTTTTTTCAGCAGGAAACATCTTTGGTCATTAACCCACCACGATCATCCTCATCATCATCGTCATCAACCCCCATTATTATTATTATTATTTTTATTAATATTCTATTCCTTTTTTTTTTTTTGTACGCTCATAAATATTATTATCGGCGGATTAAAGGAGATTGTCAATAAATTATGGGTTTAAAAAAAAAATTCGCGTCCATCTTTATAAATTCACCGAACCGGAAAATCGACCTTTTTCCTCTTTCCTTTTTTCCTTTTTTTTTTTTTTTTAATATTGTTTTTGTTATTTTACATAACCGACCTTTTTTTTTTTTTTGATTTGTGAATCTTTGGTTTCGTAAAAAAATTTTTATTTTTAAATTTCCGGTTGTTTGTTTGTTTGTTTAAGTTATCTTCTCTGTAAAGTTTGAATACGTACGGAGAAAAAGTAGAAAAAGTAGAAAAATAAAAAAATATGATGATGATGATGATGGAGGTAGGGGTTCAACATTCACATGAGTTTCGATTCGAGTTTTTCCCCGGGGCTTTCATTTTTTTTTTTTTTTTTTTTTATTCATTCAAAGAAAGAGATGGAAAAAGAAATTCGAGGATCCTTCATCGTCATTTTTTTTATGACTTTTTATTTTTTGCGTTTCGAATCGTTCGTACTTTTACTCCCAAAAAAAAAATTATTTTTTCCTTTGAATAATTTAAATGTTCCCATGTTTTCCTTTTTAAAAAGAAAAAAAACTCTTGTCTTTTTTTTTTCAATACCTTAAAGTATGTTATTTTGCTTAGCCTTGTAAATTCAGGAATTTTTTTTTTTTTAAAGGAAAATTTTAAATGCGTTTAAAAATTTTTTTATTTAGAAAAATATATAAACGTAAACGATTTAAGAAATTCGTTAATTAAAATTAAATTTTTTTGTTTGTTTGTTTGTTCGTTTGTTAACGTTAATGTCAAAAACACTGAGTGTAACAACAACTAGAATTCGTAAAGTGTAATTAATTAATTTAATTTAAATATATACATAAGGACGTTCGTAAAAGGTTTTTATCGCTCGTGTTACGTTAAATTATTACGTCACGGGAATAATAATCTATACGAAAGTATTTTTCTAAAAATGTTAAGATTATATTGTCGTGTAAATAGAAATAATAATGATAATAATAATAATAATAATTAGGACTGGGAAAAATGAAGGAAAAAAAAAAAAATTATTTCCATTTAAAAAATTAATTTTTCAATACGATTTGTTTAATCTCTTTTCGAATTATTAGTATTTTTCTGCTTCCACGTTAATTTAATTTTTATTTTGTCGTTTTTTTTTTTATGAAGGGGGTAGAGGTTTGTGCGTACGTTTACGTGTATCGATTTTATATTTTTGAGTTGAATTTTTTTTTTTTTTCGGTTTTGATGCATCGGTATTATTTTTCACTCCTTCCACGTTTTTTTTTTCGGTCGTTCATCCGGAGATTTATTTTTAATTTTTTTTTTTTTGGTTTTAATGAAAAAATTATTTAATTCGTCGATTGTTTGTTTGTTCGATTTTAAACGTTTTCGTTTCCCTTTTGTTTGTTTTATTGAGTTTATTTTGCAAACGTGGAACTAGAAAAAAACAAAAAAATATATATATATTTATGAGTTTAATGCGATTTACGGTTGTATGATGTATTTTAATAACGTTTCGTAATTAAAGGTTAAAAGGTCATATTAAAAAAAAATTTTTTTTAATAATTTTAAAATTTGACGATTTAATTTTTAAACGAAAACAATTCTTATTATTTTTATTATAAATTTTCATTTCGGCTTTTTTTTTTTTTTTTGAAAAAAATACAAAACCTCAATTCCTTCGGGCCAAATTCCAGCGTATCCTTCCTCCCTTCCCCCCTCACCATTTACTTTTCAACGTTTTTCTTTAACCTCCTCCTCCTCCTTCTTTTTCTTTTTTTCTTTCTAAAAAAAAAAATTTTTTTAGAACAAAAAAAAGAAAAATTTTTTCTTCGGATATCTTTTGTGTTGTTTCACATAAGATTATTATCATTATTATTATTATTATTATTATTATTATTATTATTATTATTATTAACATTTTAAGAAAAAAATGACGTAAATGCATTATTGAGTTTCCGGTTGAAAGAAAAATACAAAATGTCGGACATTCAAAAATTATTACAATTAATATGATTTTTCTCTCTCTCATTTTTTCATTTTTATTCAATATGTCTGTCTCTTTCTAATTTTCCTCTCTCTTATTCATTATTATTCAATTTAGTTCTCTCTCTTTCTCTCTTTTAGAGAAAAAAAAATCATTCAAATATTCATTTAATGGAGGGAATAAAAAAAAAAAGAAAGGATTGAAAAAAAAAAAAATTTTTTTTTTTTTTATAAATTTTCC